ACTAACATAGTAATATCATCTTCTCTTGCATAGGTTCAAAATGAACGAACCAACTCTACTTCTTGATGATAGGAAAGCATGCCAAAAAGCTACTTGGTGTTTCTTGCCACAGTCTGATATATACTAGGAGTATGAAGATCTTTTGGTGGTATCGTCAAATCTGAAAAAAAAAAAATTGGTTGGCAAAAAAAAGAAAAAAAGAAAAAATTTCAAGTCCAGTTTGGAAATCAAAACAATGACTTTGGAAACGAACTTCATAGGTCATGGGCTACTTGAAGACCAGGCACCCTCAAACCCAATAATTGCCTCAATCGAACCACAGACACCTGCTGCCACCACAGGAAAACAGATTATGGGTAAAGCAACCCTTACCCCATTGACGCTCTTGCAACGATTAAATCAACAACCCCAGTAAGTTACGTCTAGTAAGAGTTCGAAGAGAGTGTTGTTCCCTAATCAACCGAACTAATCTAACAAGTGAAATTTTCCTCTCAATTAATGTTCTTATTTGTAAATCTTGATATACTTGCCTCTCTTGGGTATAATGAATATGTTTTGCTACTCATAAAAAATGCTTGAACAATCTTTTCACATCACTGTTTAACACTTTTTTTTTCCTGTTTATCACGTATCTCTCTAACCTTTGTACCTTGATTCACAGCAAAAAGGCTCGCAGGGAATAAGCAGAGACAACCAATTTTGTCATAATTACTGGATAATTCACCAAATTGGTTGTCCCCAAAATTGAACCAACAAACAAAACATTGATAGCCACACACAAAAGCAAATTTCATACTAAAAAAATGAAAGATAGGGAAATTACAATTTGTTTTTCGCTCACACGCCTAAATAGCACCCATGATAACGACAATTATTAAATTATGATTTATGTTTTTTGTTTTAGTGCGAAGGATGTCCACTTTAAAAGAAATAAATTGCCAAAGTCTTCATGATCAACTGGTGCAAGGGAATTTGCATATATATTTTGGTTTAAACATTTGTAATAGCTGTTGGAACAAGAACATAAAACTTTTTATATTTTTTTGTTAACTGCTGAAACAGGTACATAGCTCGTAGGATATGTATTTTGCCATGTTGAATGCACATACAAAATATATGTAAACTACATGCTGCTTCTGTTTCTTATGGAAATAAAGTATGTTTTGCGATCACGGCTTTTATAATTAGTTGTACAATGCCTTTTCACATTAGCTGAATTGAATCTATATAAAAACTAAACTGCTGATCTTACTAGCCCCAATCAACCATATGTTGCTTATATTATTTGAAGACTCCTATGTTCATTCGCGATCCTGTTGAATTTACTAAGCTACATTTCAGGATATCATTCCGTTCATGCCGCCAATTTCGTTTACTTTATGTGAAAAATTATTGATGCTTGTTTCAACTAATACATTCAATCCCCGTAGTAAAGTCCAAATATATTTTCTAGTGTATTCAATAATGATGCTAAAGAAATCTATAAAAGTATAGGTGCAATCAATTGATTTGGTAGATTTTTTTAGTACTTTTTTATTATGAAAGTTTTTAAAGTACTTCAGAAAGTGAAAGATTTTGGTACATTCTAGTTAATTTGTAGTGTATTTTAGGCCATGACAAATTATGCCTTCCTTTCAAGATTTTGATGGATATTTTTCCCTTTCTTATGGGATAATCACACCATCTTTACTATCACCAGTATCTTCCCCACCGCCCACATCGTCTTGCCACCACCATTCCCACTACCATGCCATCCCACTTTCACCCCCATCATGTCGCCACCACCACTACAACCACCACAATTGCCTTCATCACTATTGATGCCATTACCTTACCACTTGCACCGCCACAGCCACTGAAACAACCATTGTCCCCATCACCACCTTGTCACAGCCATCACTACCCTGCCACCATGACACAACTTGCCACTATCACTACCACCACTTCCAGCACCATCTTCACGATCACCTTACCACTATCGCCATCACCACTGAAACTACCATTGTCCTCACTGCCACCACCAACATCACACATGATGGCCTACCATTATTTAAAAAATTTAAAACTAGTGAAATGCCCATTAAATAAGGCATTAAAAGTTCACGAGAATACATGCAAGTACACTAAAGCCTATAATAAAGACTCACAAACCCCATTAAATTCCAAAAAGAATTCATTGAAACCTATGTGAAGTCTCAAAAACTCTCTCAAAATTAATGAATTTCTATAGATTTATAATTCCTTCAAAATCATTTAAAATCTTATTTGAACACTCTCCGTTAAACTTATGATTTAGATTTTTCAGGCACGTTTGGGGGGCTAGACAGGATAACATGTATTATTCTGGACTTGTTAGGTTAGGATTAGATTTGATAGGTTGGGTTTTTTTGTCCATTGTTTGGTGTAGATTGGCTCAATCAGATAAAACTTGGATTCAAAACTATCAGCCATGTCGGATCCAGGTCGACTTTTAGTTTTTTACTATTTTTGCTTCATAAAAGTGGCAATTTTTCTCACGACCCATACTCAACACTGTTATCTCACTCATGACGCTGTTACGACGACCCACTCAACACCCAGCTCGTTACTAGCCCACGACGTCATTCTCCGACGATCCACCCAAGCCCCTGCTTGCGACCCATAATCCATGGCCCTTTCAAACCTACAAATTTGATTTGAGATTAGATGGTTTGCCTAGTTTTGGTTAGGGTTCGGTGGTGACAAGAAAATTCAATTCTCTAGTGAGAATGAGGTGCAAAGTCCAATGCTGACCAAAATGTTGTGGTGGTTATTGGGTTGAGATTGATTCGGGTTTTATGTGAATTACAAAGATCCATTAGTATTTCATGAAGACAAAGTGGAAAAGAAGATAAGGTAAGGAGCCATAGCAAAGAAGAATGCAGGAGAAAAAGAAAGGGAAAGATTACATCTTCACATTCGCAAAAAGAGGCTTGCAAGACTCATAACCCATGTCTCTGGTCGGGTACATAGCCGTTGCTATTTTGGACACATGTACAAGATTCGGAATCAAGTCCATGTTACACTTTGTTTCATCAAACAAGGATTGAGATTTGTAGCCATTTTAATTGGTCATAACCTAGCCTAGCTAGTCCCCAAATGGGTTCTTCATGACCTTGCAACTATAGATGTTGAATGTCTTGCAAATTATGGGTTGAGTATAATCTGGGTCGTTTGCCCCTTTGTCTATGGTGTGGTTTGGGCTTTATCCTATTCCCTTATGTCCACTTAGATATGAGTGATTTCCTCTAAAATTCATTTTCATTGTATTTTTTGCCTTTCTAAATATAATCATAATTATCAACAGAAAGTGCAATGAAAATGAATTTTTAATAAAATTTCAACAAGTTATATTAAAAATACTTTTAAATTATGAGCAAAATTACATTTTACAAAACTAGTTAGTCAAAAATAGAGTGAGTCCATAAAATGGTAATTTCCATCTCTTTTCTCCAAGTCTATGAGAGGAAGTCTCTGAGGCAAAGAAAACAAGTTAATTTCTATCTCTTTTCTCCAGTTCAAATTTTCTTTGAGTTCACACTGTATTCAAAGAAATCAAATATTGCACTCTCATTCTAGAAAAGAAGAAGGATGCTTACTAGCACCATCATCAAGTTCTTTCAGTAAATTTTATCACTCAATTGTAAGTTTTCAAAAGTCAATAATAAATTCTATTTTTAGTATATATATATATATATATGTATGTATGTATGTATGTATGTATGTATGTATGTACAAACAATATTGGGAAGAGAAATCGAAGTTAAGAATAATGGTCAATAATGAGTTTGTCTGACTCAATTCGCCCCTAAAACTTTAGGCTCAAAACAAGTTTGGGGCAAACCATTTCAAAACTAAAGACTTCTATGGGTCGAGGCATGGTTGGGTTTCCAAATTGTAGCCTTTGCCCATATATGCTGGGAATGGATTTCCCCACACTATTTTTTTTTTTTACACGCTGCATATTTTTTATCTTAATTTTCTTTAATTCATTTTGGCTAAATATTAAATATAAACAAAAGTGTGCAAAAGTAGAAAAAAAAAATTTGCAAAAAAAATTCCATAAAATAAAGGATTAAATACTTAAAACCCCTCAACCTTTTAGTGTCATTCTAAATTGATCTCAACCTTTTTTTAACATTCCAAATAAGTATGCCACCTATTGGATATGTCACATCTGTTAAGCCTCAGTTAAAAATTTGTTACATTAACTAGGCTTACGTTGTCTCCAAAATCCATAGAAGGTCATGGAAACATAGCCTCCACCAACCAACGGTTACCACCATCCGCATCATGCTATCACCTCCAAACCTAATGCAAGACCACCAACTCCACCCTACAACTCAAGCCGCCAACATCAAGAAGAAAGTCATGGACATTGCTGCAATGGTAGGAACTGCCATGATGCAATGACCACCATCTTCATCGCCTGCAAAGAAGAACTGAAAGATTTACAAGCCAAGAATCGGCAAATAAGGAAATCACATGAGTAGAAACAATTCATTGAAACCATATTTGAATTCTTAACCCTCTTCTTCGTTAAGAGATTGCCCTCCTCATGTAATTCAACTTGGGTCAATTTTCAATTCAATTCAATACCTATTTGATCATTGGGTTTCATTTTATATAATTTATGTTTCAAATTTAGATTTTGAGGCAACTAATATTAATATTGTCCATGGTACATCTAGTTTGGATTTGAATATAATCCATGTTTGAATAAAAAAAAAAAGAAAAAAACGGTAATTGAGGCTCAACGGATGTGAAATTTTTAATAAGTTTGGTACTAGTTTAAAATGTTTAAAAATATTAAAACTAATTTGGACTGACACTAAAAAGTTGGGAAGAGTTTTAGGTATTTAATCCTAAAATAAAATAGGTACAAAACTCGTTGTGGGCTATTAATAATGGGCCGTTCCCAAAATTTTCCATAAGAGTGAATTAAAAAAATAAAAATAAAAAAATAACCCCTGAACTATAAAGATAAACGGGTGGAAACGTAATTGAGAGCGGATGAGAAGTCGAGCAGTACACCATGCCGGTTGAATTGCTGATACAGGACCGTATAAACCCTAACCCACACTCCGACTCTCGTACAGATTATTCTTGGGGGGACCGCCGGACCAGGTATTTCCATCCTCACAATTCTTATTCCTTTCAATTTATCTTCCTTGCTCAAATTCAATTGGTATTCGACGGCGATCATCTTTTTTTCTATCCAAGTTCCAGGTCCAAGATTGATGCTTGTTTTCTGAAAAGAACCCTAATTTTTGTTTATCTTGTAATTTAATCTGGGTTTTATTTGCTGATAATTTAATCATGTTCTATGTATGTGTTTGTGGTTTGATTTTTTTTGTGGAAATTGTTTTCTTGTCGCTTGTTTTTCTTGAAAGAACCCTAATTTTTGTTTTTCTTGTAACTTAATCTGGGTTTTATTTGCCGAGTAATTTAATCATGTTCTATGTATGTCTTAGTGTTTTGAGTTTCTTTGTGGAAATCGTTTTTTTTTTATTTTTTATTTTGGTTAATTTTGAAGTAGATAAAATATTTGATGATAACAGATAAATAATTTGCAATCAGGTCCCTTCCAAGTAGTTGATAGATAATGTTGAAGAGAGCCCTGCATAAAAATTTAGGAGTACCTCGTGATAGGAAGAGGAGGAAAAGGGAAAGCATCTCTGGCGCGTTAGGTATTGATTTGTGTACAAAAGCATCTGGAATTGAAAGAAAAAGAAAGAGAGGAGAATTAAGCATGATTGACAAGAATGTTAAGCTTAAACAAATGAAAGGGACCGTAAATTCGAATGGTGTGGAGATAAGAGTTGAGGGCGTGGATTATATCTCGCACTTGCCTGAAACTGTGATCCATCTCATCCTGTCTCTCCTTCATAGTACAAAAGATGCAGCTCGAACCAGTACCTTGTCGAAGAGGTGGAGGGACTTGTGGACCTCTTTCTCTGTTTTGGCATTCGATCAGCGCAAGTTTCAAAAACCAGAGGGAGTTAAAGATAGGAAGAAATGCAATGCGGTGTTTAAGGAGTTTGTTGACAAATCTCTCCAGAGCCACTTTGACCGTAATTTGGGTATATATAAGCTTGTGCTGCATGTGAACTCGTTTGATCAAGATATGGCTCATCGTATTGAAAAATGGATTCGACTTGCAGCTGAAAATAAAACAAAAGAGATTGGTTTCCATGCTCACAAGAAAATATGCGGTCGCTACACGGTGCCTAGGAATGTCTTTACTTCGGAAACCATAACTGGATTAAGGCTAGAAGGCTGTAGAGTGGATACTTCCAGTAATATAAAGCTTCCTAATCTGCAAAAGCTGTATCTGCGAAAAATCCATTTTGATGAATCAATAATTATAAATCTCATTACCAGCTGCCCTCTAATTAACGACTTGAGACTCATACTTTGCTCGGGGTTAAATAATCTGCAGATTTCAAGTCTCCTTAAACTTTATAGGGTTGAAGTACACTACTGCCATGGACTAGCGATGATTGAAATCAACGCTCCAAGTCTTGAAACATTTTGGTTTTGCGGGAAGAAATACATGTCCTGCAAAATTAAGTTGGCTGCATGCGAGTCTCTTAAAAGACTGACATTAGAGGACAGTAGAATGACAGACAACCAATTTCGTGATCGGTTCTTTAGGTTTCCTCTCCTGGAGAAACTGGATCTACATAAATGCCTCAACTTGAAAAATATAAGAATTGCAAGCCATCGGCTGAAAAGGCTAGTATTAAGAGGTTGCAAGAAACTAGCAGATGTTGAAATTGATACTCCTAATCTTCTTTCATTTGAGTATGAAGGTGATGAAATGCCCTTTTCTTTTCTGAATCCTGTAAGTTTGAAGGAGGCCAAGCTTTCATTTGCAGCAGTAAGAAACTTCATATCTGAGCCTGAATGGTTTCTTAAGATGCGAGAATTTCTTGGAAAGTTGGATCATAGAGCCTTTAAACTGGTTGTTTACACCAATAAGGTAATCTTCTTTTGTTATTAACAATTGTAACTCATTTTCCGCTTCTCTTAATTTATCTTATCTTACATGCTTTCATTGTCCAATCCAGAATGTCATCATCCACGAAAATATTAGAGAAATTTCGCTTCCTGCAAACTGTGGTCTCAAATTTGAATTAATCCAATCATCAGTGGGTACCGAAGAACTATTAGATGGTTCATTGCAGAAACGGCAGCTGGAGACCCTATCTATAGTGTCGTCTTCCAGCAGTGAATTCCTCAAGGTATGGTAGTTTCCTTGCTTCCATTTTGCTAATTGCTACCCTATTACATTATCCGCAATTTGTATACTGTGGATTCTTTTTCAGATCATGGATCCTTCAATTAAGTCCACCATGTAGAGTGAGATTAAGCCATCAAAGAATAAAGTGACATTTTGCTTTCTCGGCCGTTGTTTTAACTTGAACTGCAGTTGGTACGTGAGAAGATTACCAGAAAGGAGGATCCAACCTGCTGCACAAGTATGAATTCAACCAATAAGTGTTGGAGACACTTCTTAAAGGACGCCAGGATGGTGAACTTGAAAGCGACCAAACACGTTGCTCCATGGATGGCTTGGTTGAAGTCACATCCAAGGGTTAATGAGATCACTTGTTTTAGATTGAAATGGAAATCGGACAAAGATGGTAAGGAGGCATCCCGCTAAGGTTTACATTTTAACTTTTAAATTTCAAAACTTATATTTCAGCTTTATGTTTACTTTTGTGTGACAATGAATTGATTCATTTTGGAATCCAATTTGAAGATTATTTTTCTGGGGAGATTATACGAGTGCGGTCATCCTTTAAAGTTTTTCATTTAGTTTAGTTATTTTTGAGCTATCTTCCCATAAATAGAGGTGGAGATTTCCAAAACTACAAAAGCACACTTGCAACTCTGGTTATGTTAGTGTTGAATATTTGGAGTGTTTTGTTATTGATTGATTCGAGAGCTAACATTGTTTTCTTGTTATACAAGCAATCCTAGGGGAGGGAGATAGGAAAGTAGGATCTTGTAAATGATTCTTTTAACTCCTTGAGTTACAAGCTTGTATCTCGTACTAGAACTTTTGAACAAGAAGCCGGGGTTTTCGTTCTTATGAAACAGTGCAATACTAGGATGATTTTTAGCTCCTAGAGGAGGATTCAAGGTATACCGTCAATTTTGACGATTGGGATTTGCTGAGCTACGTAACCCTATTTCGTAACCTCACGGTAAACAGCTCTCCGTGGTTGTATACAAGCGGTGATAGGGTTTGTGTAAAGGGGATTATTCTGTTTGAATGTTACTTTTGTCAAGGAATTACTTGGCCCAGATGCCTACAATCAGAAAGTGGAGAAGAGAGGGATAGGAATCGGAAAAGGTTCTACAATTCCAAAATGTAGAACAAGAGAAATGCACTAACATTTGCATTTGAACCTTCTTACTTTATCTAATGTTGTGTGTGACTTTTTACACAAAAAGCAACACATTTAATGTCTTTGAAATATTATTTTATGCTTTTCATCTTTAATCTCTAGGTAAAAGCATTAGAAATTCTTGTTTTTTTTTTTTTATTTTTTTATTTTTCTTTTTTGTGTAGAAAGTGACATATGGTGTTGCCATTTAGTGTTCCGGTCAAGTGATATTTCTCTTCACTTATAAGTGAGAGGTCTTAGGTTCATTTCTCGTCAAAAGTAAATTTAAACCACATTATGCAAGCCCATTATGAGACTTAGCCCACCTCCTTCCTTTAGACAACTAAGGAAAATGTTAGGGGGATTATATTTTGTAAACTACATAATATATGAAGTGTAAACAACTAAAGAAAATGTTAGGGGGACTATATATATGTATATGAAGTGTAAACAACTAAGGAAAATGTTGGGGGACTATATTTTGTAAACTACATGATGTGATAATTGATGGTTAAGTTCTATTTTTAATGATTTAAACAAGGAATTCAAGTATCAATCGCTATATCATGTGGTTTAGAAAATTTGATCTGAAAAGTAGTCTTTCTAGCATCACCCCAACACCTAATTCGATTTCAGTGTCATCCACTTTAGATATCCACCAACTGGCACTTTTTAATTTAGATGCTATTACGGTCACCATGGTTTCATCTCATTTTTGTTTTTGGCAAAGAATCGAGCTGATTTTAACACACGTTTTCTTAGCCTTTTACACCTTTCTCTTTATTTATGGTCATCGGTTGAGTAAAATTAAACAGAAAAAACATACATAATTTTGTTAAAAAAAAAGAAAAAAAACAGACATAATTAGATAAAGGTTTGTAGGAGAAGGAAAAATATATATGTTTATCATTTTCGGTCGAAAGAACTTGAAGTTTGTAACTCAGTAATTAAGAGTGCTAATTTTTGCACTTGAAATCTTTTACGAATGAGGATCCTCTTTGTAAGGAACCTAAGGATCCTCAAATCGTATCCGTTCGTCGTATATCGTGGGGCTAGAAATTATTTTAAATACTTTATTTAAAATTAAATATGAATAGTACTCAACGAAAACTGACTGCAAAATATACGATAAACATACACGATTTGAAGATCCCAAGATATATTCAAATATATGCTTTTCTAGCGATATTGACTAGAGTGATGACCGCCACAACCGTTCTCAAATGTATAAGGCAAAAGCATGATTCCGAGTTCCTGCGTATTGCTTGAATTGCTTGAATAGAATCAGATACTATCCCCCGAATTGCTTGAATTGAATCAGATACTATCCCCCCACCATACTTAGCACCCACCAATTAACATATGTTTTCACATTCAATTTATAGGGTCCACTTAGTAATGTATTTGAACGATCCGAACGATCTATATTTAGTTCATCACCAATTAAGATATGTTTTCACATTCAATTTATAGGGTCCACTTTGTAATGTATTTGAACGATCTATATTTAGTTCATCACTCATAGATCACTCTTGCAAAAAATTAGGCATATCCAAAACTATTAATACATTCATTTGTGGTGAAGAATAAAGATGAATATGGGTCTACAAAGAAACACTAAATTTACTCTAACGATCATATGTTTAGGATTTGGGTGACTTTAGTAGATAAAGATAAAATATTAAAGATAAACGATTAGATCGTTGAAATACATTACAAAGTGAGACCCGTAAAAGCGGGTGTCAAAAGTGTGCGTCCCCTAACCTTAACCATATATCTGTCTCTGTGTTTATATACTCTCAATAATATACTCTCAATAAAAAGCCCCTTCTTTTCTTTCACATATTCTCTCTATATAAAGCCTTCTTTTCTTACTTCTTCTCTGTGTTTACCATGCTTCCATTAAGCACAAAGGTAAGCATTAAGCTCTTCTTTTCCACATCTACTTCTTACTTTGTTGTTGTGCTTTGTTTGTTTTATTATTACAAGTGATATTACTATTCTAATCTACGTCACAAAAGAATAGGAAAGAGTTTGAATCCAAAACATAGTCGGTTAAAGAGGAAGGCCGACTCCACCGTTTTCTACGTTGTTATGCACTTGATCATCAACTTTATTTACCTATTAAAACTATGATTTTGTTTCAACGTACTTTTAAACAAGGAAACTGGTGTAACTTTTTATGTAGGAAGGTGGGAAGAGGAAGACCGCGGTAGTGGGACCATGGGGAGGAAATGGTGGAACTCCTTGGGACGATGGCATCTACAATGGCGTGAGAGAAATCACGGTTGTTTACGGCCACTGCATCGACTCCATCACCGTGGTGTATGATAAAAACGGCAAGCCTGTCAAAGCCGATGCACATGGAGGCCGCGGAGGCACTCAGACCGCGGAGGTCTGCCTCGCAGCTCGTAGTTTTCATTTTATTTGGACAAGTATTGTCATGAAGAATTGAACTCAAGACATGCCTTGCAGATAAAGTTGGAGTATCCGGATGAGTACCTAGTCAGTGTGACTGGGAACTACTGTCAGTTGGCGTACGGTGGCACAGCTATCATCCGTTCGCTTAAATTTCAGAGCAATCGAAGAACGTTCGGACCATTTGGGATAGAGGAAGGCACAACGTTTACTTACAACGTTGAAGGAGGAAAAATTGTTGGGTTGAAGGGAAGAAATGGTTGGTACATAGATGCCATTGGGTTTCATGTATCCCCTGCCCCTACAAAACTCTTTCGGATAGTTCAGAAGAGTTTCAGAAGGCTCGGGAGCTTGGTTACCTTCGGGCACCAGAGAAACTGAAACGACTGCTCCCAAGACTAGAGGATTTTGAATGTATAACTATAAGCTAGTCTTTCTGCTTTTGATTGATTGTTTTCATGTATACTTAAGCTATCCAGATAATTCAGTTGCATTTCACTTTTCTTGCTTTTAGAATCCCGAGACATACGTTTTTGACAAATATTTTGACACCTATTTTGTAGGTCTACTTTGAACTCTGTATATTTTAGTACATCATTCATAGATCATCCTTGCACAAAATTAAACAAATATAAAATCATTAACACATTTGCCACTTAATATTACGGTCTAGTGATATTCTTCTTTACTTGTAAGTGAGAGATTTTAGGTTCGATTCTTGCCGAAGGCGAATTTAAACCGCATTATTATAGTTGGAATATTGTAAGACTTGACCCATTTCCCCACTCCCTTTGTGGATAGTATCATTTGTTTTAATGATTTGTTTTAAACAATCATTAAACATTCATTTGTATCTAAGAAAATAAATGAATACTGGTACAAAAATAAGCACTAAATTTAATTCGAATAGTCAAATAATTTCGGATTTGGGAGATTTTTAGCAGACATAATCTTTGACATAAGACAACGTGTCAAAAACGTGTAACCCAGATCCAACAATGACTTGGATTTTTGGACAAACCCTGCAGAGCAGGCGGGCTCTCTCAGGTCTACTTTGAAAACGTTTCTCTAAAAATGACTTCTGATATAAAGTGCTTTTACTAGAAGCAAAGACACGTTCAAACTTTTAGTAAATATCCAAGTGCTTTCTGAAAAAATGAAAACTGGAGGTGCTTCTGTAAAGCAAGTGATACATCCTTAACCTATACGCATTTTTAACGTTATTTCAAATGCTTTTAGTTAGATGCACAAACAGAATTGAACAAATGAACAAATGAACAATTTACAAACTAGATAGGTGGCTTTCCCATCAGCCTTTATAAACACACACCTCCATTGAATTCAATTCATGATGGTAATGAGTGTTTTAACAAGACTAACACTAACATCTAACAAGATGGTAATCATATTCCATAATCTTAAACCGCAACCAAATCACAACATATAAGCTCAAGAACGAAATCACATGTAAACACAAGAACGAAGTCACATGTAAACGAAAGAACGAAATCACAACATATAAACGCAAGAACGAAATCACAACATATAAACGCAAGAACGAAATCACAACATATAAATGCAAGAACGAAATCACAACATATAAACACAAGAACGAAATCACATCTTGCAATTCATCTGAATGCAGTACTAAATTGCAGAATGTGAGAAAATAAATTCCAGACCAGAGAGCTTTGCTCTTGCCCAACTTTCATGATAGTAAATATGCATCTGAGTCACACAGATTACAAACCAACCAGCATACATCCATGAGAAACTACTCATCGACGGTATCATTTCTAATATGAAGCAACTATCACTAGTTTTCATGCATATACACAAACTGACAAAGGCTCACTCAGAAAAAAAGTGCATGGATCAGCATCGAAGCATGACATTCTCTCAAGACACTGTACCATTTCGTGCCAGATTGTTACAAGCAATAATTAATTACCATAAAATAAGGTGGATGTCTTAAAAAACCAAGGACATAAAAATTGCAATGCATCAACAGATTCAACAGACATAAAACATGAAGAAAGTTCTGACTGTAATGTACAATTACATATAAGCTTTTATACGCCAAAATCAAGAATGTCAAAGTTCATGATCATATTCAAAAACAATAAGCACAAAATGGAGCAACAGATATCAAAAAACGTCCTTCCTCAGAAAACCTGAATAGTGCATAAGACGACTAAAAGCTAATTCAGCCAATTAACATACATGTATTTCAACAAACATTGATCCTAATTCCAATCAACAGAAATTATAATGTACTCCAAAGTATCTAGAAACACTAGTGCCCGTGAGCAACAATCAGAAATCATACATCGAAATCCTTGTGCCCATAAACAAATTCGTTCATAATATCACATCACAAACAGCACTTGCAACTTAAGCAAATGGTGTTTCTCCCCGAGCAAAACAGAAAAAGGCAGCAACATCCAAGATCCACCAACCAGTCCCAATCGGCCAATTCACTCAATCAAAAAAAATTGTAAGCTCATTCTCATTAAGCACAGGCACACAGCACATAGCTATTATACATATAACGAAGAAATACAAACAGTGACTCGAACGCAAAGAAAATCCCCGTAGTAGTATATGGCAGCGAATTCAAATTCGTTAAATATACACAAATATCAAGTTGCAAATTGTTCCAACACGAGCCATAACTCATAATTAGCAATGAGTACAAATACAAAAGCATTTCATATATATTCTAATTCGCAATGCAAGCTGATCGCTTTGCTAATTTAACCTCTAGCCTTGAGCTCCGCAAGCCTCCTGGAGAGATCGTCCTCGTCGACCTTCTCGGTTTCCTTGGCGGGCACGGCATGTGCAGCTGGCTGAGGCAGGCCAACGGACACCTCAAGGCCATAGTCATCCGCAACCTGTTGCATCAAGCTATTGACCTCACCTTCCGGCGTCGAAAGCGAGGTGGAGCCAGCCATAGCGGTCTCCATGAACTCGGCCTGAACCTCCATGTTCACGAACTGCTTCTCGAACGAGTCCATGGTCTCCGACATCTTCTGGAGGTTTCCGGTGGCCAGCGACGACTCGAGCGATTTGACGATATTGCCCATTGACTTGTTGATGGTGAACATCTTGGCCTGGGTGTCGAGCCGCGCCACCACGGCGTCGAGCCTCGAGGCGAGGCGGAGGTAGTTCATCTGCTCGGTGCGCTTCCGGATCGCGTTCTCGGCGTAGATCCGGGCGCCGTCGACGTTGCCTTTCTCCATTGCCTTCTTGATCTTGAGCTTCTCGGATTTCTCCTCCTTCTCGCACTTCCTGGCCTGGCGCTGGAGCGACTTGGAGGTGAATTTGAGCTCCATGATCTGGTTCATCAGCTTCTCGGTGTTTCCCATGATGGAATTTGGGGATTTTTTTGGGGGGAATTTGACTTTCTAGGGTTTGGGTTTTTGATCGGAGGAAGAGACTCGAGCTTTTGTGCGTTTTGGACTTGCGATACACGCGTTTCGCGTCCGCGTCTCGGAGATATCACTGCGGGTGAGGCCGAAGTTTCCTAGTTTGCTTTTTTCGGCCCCAACTGGCAATATTTTGGGCTTCACTTGCTTTATGCCTTTGCAAAATACGAAAAGCCCGGTTTAGTGATATGAACTTGTACGTGACTCTTTTATATTACAATCCAATCGTATTCTTCTTCATTTGTAAGTTAGAGATCGTAGGTTCGATTCTCACCAAAAATAAATTTGAACCAAATTATTATGGCTCGCCCATTGTTAGCCTTAGTCCAGTTCCCCACCCCCTTAGTGATATAATATCGCTTGTTTAGGAAAAAATAAACTTGTACGTGAGAGAATTTATAAGCTTATTATATTAACATTCTATACATTTGTTTAGGCCCAAAATATTATTTTGGGCCGAGCTTTGAGTCGTTCTTGGTCCAGTAACATTTATCTAGAATCTTGTCATGGGCTGTTCAGTCAAGGTTGGATCCTATTACGAAGAGGATTGGTTTAGATAAGGGTGAGGTAGTCGAACCCTAGTGCAACAAGGAGTCTTATAGCTAAGGATGCTTAGAATTAGGGGATGAATCTAGTTCGTTAAGGAGCTTTGTTCAAAATCCTATAGGGGTTAGAATTGGGTGAAACCTGATCAGATTGGGTTGAGGAGTTCTAATCCAAGTAAATTTCTAGTTCAGCCATAAGAGGGTTTGCTACTATGACTAGTGAGGGGAGTGCATCATTCAAAGCCCATTCAAATCAACGCATAAATTGCCCCGCGCAAAGCTTCTCAACAACCCTGAGATTTTTTCCCTCCCCATTTCTTCTTGCCAACACATCTTTAGTTTCGATAGACAACATTATGAAGGCAACTAACGACATCTTCAGTTTGGATAGACAACATTGGAGCCGTAAAATCAGCCGACTGAGGAGCACCTTCAGTTTGGATAGACAACACTGCTTCGAAACCGATTAGTTATTTATCCAAGTCTCGGTCAACAAGGATTTCTAAGTCCTTGTTAGTAAAGGTCATCTCATCAGCCTTCTCAACAAAGTGAGGTGTTACCAGGTTCTAGGCTTGGCACATTGAAAGCCGAGTTTTATTTTATGATTGGATATTCGTAAGTACATTTTAAAGTTTGGCATTCTGACGGTCGAACCACATTTACAATCAAGACATTTATCTCTTTCAAGTATTTGTGTCCATACAGTCTAGTACTAGTTCGGCGTACTTATACTCTCACGAATATAATTACTGAGACCGAACCTAGTGCCGACAATTTGTGAACTTCAAAGAAACTAGCAGCCTTGTCTACAGGCTTTAGAACCCAAGGCTAAGAAGTGTTCCTTCCTCGGCCATAATCGCAAGATCAAGAAGTCAGCAGCGTGCCTAACGCCACATCAACATATTTTACTCCCCGGTCGAACTCGACCGACAAGTTGGCACGCCCCGCACACAATTGAATGACGTAGTTAGCTTATTAATTACTCGGCCTACGCGCCACGTAGGCTTGGTAGTTTTTAGGGTCAACATTTTGGCATGCCTAATGGGACCTAGTGCTAAAGCTATGAAGTTCATGACCCTTAAAACACGGTCAATAAAAAAAAAAAAAAACAGTCATGGGTAAGTCAATGACTAATCTTCCACCTACAGTCCAAAGCCCAGAACAAGATGGTTTGTCACAGGCACATAATGCTCCTACTGCCGTAACACTTGAAGCCACAAATACAACATGCCAAGAAAAGGAAATTAATCTCGGCGGTCAGACTCGTGATGCAGAAATCCCCACCAAAATGACAAAAGGCCTTTTTGTTGAAGGACTAGTGGAGTACCATCTAGATCTTTCCTCCGGCGACGATTTGAAGAACAATACTAGCAGTTTGAGGAAATGTTCAACCGAGAGGTAAAAAGCATATTTGAAGAGATATGTGATAATAGCGCTATGCACAACAGATTGCTCGAAGTTTTGGTTAATAAAGTCCAAGAAATTGGACCCGCCTATCGACCCATGCAGCCTCATCTTCTAAAGAATAATCAATTGTTAGCAATACAGGCCGAGACAAGATCTACTCAGCCCAAAATGATTGAGTTAGAAAAAAATGGCGAACCAAGCAACAGATTGGTCAAAATCGACCGAGGAACAGAACCGGCGCCTGTTGACATGGTCGAAGTCCAGAGAATGATTGATTCGACTTTACAAAAGAGGCCGAAGTTCCTAAAATCCATTCACCTATATCTAGCCTTTATAGAAAGGTTCGAATATCCTAAGGGATTCAAGATTCTAGACTTTAGCCTTTTCGCTGGAGAATCATCCTTGTCCTCGTTAGAACACGTAACTCGATTCATTGCATAATGTGGAGATGTTAACAGTGATTTTCATAAACTATGATTGTTCAATTTCTCGATAACCGGCTCAGCGTTCGCATGGTACATCAACTTCCCACCCAACCCTATCCAAAGCTGGGAGGAATTAGTTGAGAAATTTCATGAGCAATTCTATCGGCTAAGGATGGAAATGTCAATTTCTTCTTTAGCCAGGATGGCTCAATCATCCAACGGGTCACCAATGGAATATCTTATGAGGTTTAAATCGGCCAGAAACTGGTGCTGAGTACCCCTCCCTGAAGTCGAGTTTATTAAGCTTGCCCTGAACGGCCTGGATATGGAGACAAAAAGAAATTCTTGAAGGCAAACATCTGAGATATGTACGAACTAGCTCAACATGTCAAGCAATATGATTGTTTGCTTCAAGAAGAGAAAATCTCGAAATCCCAACCCGTGGGACGATTTACAAAAACCCAATGGTAAGTTATGCATTGGTCGAAGGCGAAGAGTCCCAATATGCCAGTATAGATAACATATGCAAAACGTTGGCTCATGCTAATTCCAAAGATGTCAAAACTTGCTCGGCCTCTGTGGAAGCCATCTTCAAAACAACAAAGGTCTACACTTTTAACATCACCAAGGCCGACCCCATCTTCGACCAGTTGTTACTTGCAAAAATCGTCAAGCTTTAGCCATGGCATAATATTCCCAAGGCCAAAGATATGAAAGGAAAGATGTATTGCAAATACCACAACTCAAACAAGCATACGAAAAATAATTGTGTCGTATTTCGCAACGCCATCCAAAGTTAGATCGACAATGGCAAACTTAAGTTTCCCAAGAAATCTCCAATGATCGTTGATGTCGATCCTTTCCCTTCAACGATGGTAAGCATGGTAGATGTTCATCTACCCAAGGATAAGAGAAAAGAAAAAGTCAAGTTTATCTTGAAGCAGTACGTACTTAAGCAGAATTCTCGGCCACGATTGAAAATTGATCTATCTTCGAACGAGACACCCAAATACTTTTCAAACTCAGCTTATGCTGAGTCAATGTTGGATTCCAGCACAGAGGAAGCTGACAAGCCGATGGTTTTTGATGCTAACTAAATAAGCACACAAATTAAAACCCTCTTGTGACAATTGTAGTATAAGTAGGGATCGTTCTTAACCGGGGATTAGGAGGGATTGCAAAATCACTTGGAAACTGACTCAAAAACGTAAAATAAAGTTTAAAACACTAAACCAGACTCAAAGAATGCAAAACTAAACACTTAAAACACTAAAACAAACCAAAAAACTCAAACAGCACCCAAAACACTCAAAACTGCCTTAAAAACACTTTCTGTGCAGTTTTGAGCACTTTGACTACTTTGGACGAAATTGGGTAATAAAATGAATCAAAACACTTAGAAACACAAACTAAGACACTTTCTAACTAAGTTGGACACTAAAGCAAAGGGGGATTGAGTTTTTTTGACGAATTTGAAAACAAAACTTAAAACTTTGTAAAACGAACAAATTTTAAAACGAATTTGGATTTAATGAATGGAATGGAAGCTAGCTAAGGGGTTCATCTCCACACATGCCATACTTGCACACAAAACGATTTCTAATTGCTTTTCAATAACCCATGAATTCTCAACGCCCCAGATTAACCGTGAATTGCACTAATTAACCCTCAGATTTTCCTAACGTTATTGAATTGGATGATTGCATACGACAACCCAAAGCATTCCCCACAAGTTCCCTACATGAATTGCATAATAGAGATACAAGCAAGAATCATTAAGTTCTTTGAAAACCATAAGCATTGACGAAACATTCGTTACTATGAATTGCATGAAACTTATGCCAAGAATTTACTTAACGCAATTGAGGTCATCAACTTTTACTACTTGTGAATATAAGTTTGTAACGATTAGGAGAAACATCCTTATATCCTAGCATTAGATTTACGCATGATAATTAAGCGTGCACTCTTAACCAACACACACAAATCAGTTTAATTCAAATAGATAAGTAAATTGAATTCACAACTTATGAAACACAATTAGAGGTAATCAAATCATATAGCAAGCATGATCATGGTTTCGAATCCCCCCTAGCCAAGGGGGGTTTAGTTCCTCATACGTACAAGACAAAGATAAGTAAATTTAAAGTGTTTTTAAAGTGTTTTTAAGCTGTTTTGGAGTGTTTTAGTGTGTTCTGTTTTATAAATCCGAAAATCACATAAAAATTTGAAAAAAAAAAAAAAACATGTTTTGAAAAGCCTAAAAAGAGTGTTTTGAGTCGTTTTTGTGTGTTTGTGTCTTAAGGTACCTTCCAACACAATGATGAGGATTTGGTTTTTAATTGCATAACTGTTAAAAAGAGTTATAAACATGGAGAAAAGTTTGATTTACTCTTGGTATATGCTTGGTTATGGTTATAATGTATGACTTCACATGCAATCACAAAAGAAAAATTGGTTTTTGTAACATGCTTGAAGGAAGGAACTCAAACAAACGCTACAACCTTGTGAGACTTGAGCCTAAACGTTTTTTGGAGAGTTAAAATCTGTGCATTATTGTTTTCTAAAGTCGTTGCATGATCTCATTATTCTTTGCTTGGTTACTACTTAGAAGGCGTTTCATCATATAGTTCCAAATGCTAGAACACATGCCCATTTCATTCAAAGCATGTTATTGATTTGCATAACACATATTCAAGAAGAAGTTGTGTAGTGACCACCACCA